GCACAGGGGCCCATCATTCCTTTCTGCACAGGTCAACACAGACCAGCTGTCATGGGGACTCCAGGGCTTCCCTACCCTGCATAGGACTGTGCAGAGGAGCCCAAAGGAGGGCTGGGGCTGGACCTCTGTGCTGGGTCTCCTCCCCATCCTCATGACTAGACAGTGCCCATTTCCTAAGGATGCTCTGAGCCTCAGCATGGCCATCCACACTGCCCAGCTCCATCTACACCACCAGCTCCACACCCAGCAAACACCACATGCTCACTCTGGTGGGTGACGCACCACCACCTTCCTGTTCACTTCCTTGCTTCCTAGGGCCACAGCCCCACCACTGCTCCCCCTACTACAGCCCTGAATTACCCAGCTCCCAGGGCAGCCTGGACCAGACCCCAAAAGTCAAGCTTCCAGCAAGTGACATCCACTTGTTTACTCACTGCCTGTTCCAGGAGGCAGGAGGTGCCTTACAATGTGGTCTGGGCTAGCCTCAGAGACAGGTATAAAACCATCCTTCTGAATATCTGTAACTTACTCAAATGGCTTAGGAAAAAGCATGTGTATATCTGTGTGTGTGTGTGTGTGTGTGTGTGTGTGTGTGTGTGTGTGTGTGTGTATGTGTTCAGCAAATACAAAAAATGGAGCAAAATACTAATAGTTGAATATTAACAATGATTGTCCATCTGCTCTAAAGGCTCCATGGATATTTTTTGTACTTATTTCATTCTTATTCTAACAACTATTCTGTAAGTTTAAAATTTTTTGTTCTTGAAACAGGGTCTTTCTATGTAATTCAAACTGGTCTTGAACTCACTTTGTAGCCCAAGCTGACCTCAAATTCAAGTGATCCTTGTGCCTCAGCCTTCCGAGTGCTAGGATTATAGGCATGCACCACCACTCCTAGAAAAATTATTTCTAAAGAAAAAAAAAAAGGAGGAATGAAGGTGGATTAAAATTTCCTTCCTTTCGTGGGGCTCCCGGTTCCTGAGGAGACAGCAGAGCAGTGGCAACCCTTGACATGGCTCCGTTAGATGGGACCAGGAAGGCTTCAAGGAGGAGGTGATAGGAGTTGGGCTGGACAGAACCCAAGCAGCAACTAGCTCTCACCCTTCCGTGCAGGTGGGCCTGGGACTGCTCACCCAGTCTCCTTGCACAGCTGTAGCCCAGCACATGATTCCTCCCTTCTTGCTGCTGCCCAGAGAAAGCACACCTTCTCTGGAGGGTGGCAGCAGCACCTATGCCTCAGAACCTGAGCAGAGGGTGAGCCAGGCCAGGGTGCTATCCAGGCAACCTGCCAGCACTGACACAGCCTGAGCCCCAGCTGATCTCCCCAGGGAGTGTCCCTGCCTTTCTGTTGTGGTGACCCTTGGTGGCAGGTGGGGGCTGCAGGAAAGAGGATCATTATTCCATCTATCATTAGGTCTGCATCCAGAAACCCCAAAACTGTGGGTATGAAGGAGTGACAGCTCTGAACCCACCCCAAAGCCTCTTTCCCCCACCTATGCCTTCCAAGCCCCTGCTTCTCCCTGCTTCCATCCCCGCCCATCCCCTCCCCCCAGGCACCCACTGTCCTCCCCTCCTCCTTTGGGGGCCACAGACTCTTCCTAAGAGGGGCTTCCCCTACCCAGTTCTCAGTCATAGCTGTAGATGTCAGACACAGGATTGTCCCAACAACCACCCCTTCCTGCAAAAAGACAGTGACACTAGCATCCTGTGTTCAGAGAACCTAAGGAATGATGGGGGAGCCCTGCCTACCCTCATAGCCCATCCCCTCTCCCCCGCAACCTCTGCTGCCACTTCAGCCTGCACTGCCAAGGGTGGACCAGCCCTGCACTCAGCAGTGTCAGCCGAGCTATCCCGCCCTTCAGGCACCTTTGTTCTCAAGCCTTTGCCTTTGTCACTGGCCCTGACTTGCCAAGCCAGCCCAGCGCCTTGCCCCTGGCTTGGCTGGTCCCTCTCCTTGCCATGACCCCTCCCATGGGCTTTGGCTTCCTCTGAGACCAGACCAGCATGGGACAGGGGTGGGACCCCTCTGCCCACCCCACCCCAGCCAGGCAGCCCAGCCTCCCTCTCCTGCCCACACCCCCCCTTACCCCCACCCCCTCCCCCTGCCCCTCCTCCCCCTACCCCTTTCCCTCTCAGTCTGGCCCCTCATCTCCTCGCCCCCTCCCCATTTCCTCTTCCCTCCTCTCTTGGCCCTTCAGTCCCAAGAGTCAGGCTTTATCCCTTGGCAGCGGGCGCACACTGCCCTCCCTCCCTTCTCTTGTGTCTCATCCTCTGCCTTCTCTCTTCCCCCTCCAGCCTCCACTCCTTCGCCGGCTCACTCACCCTCTCCCTCTCCTGCTGCCCCCCTTTTCCTCCCCCACCTCTTTGTTTCAGCTGAGAACCGGCTTCCCGGGACAGTTCCCACACTGCAGTGCCTCTGGTGAGGAGACAGCGGAGGCTGAGGTGAGCTCCGGGAATGCAGGGACCCCGGCACGGGGCAGCGGGCAGCCGGAGACCCGGGGGTGGGCAGGTGGGGAGAGTGGATGGTCCAAGCCAGATTGCTTCTCTGCCCCCAGAACACAATGGGGCACAGAGTGGCAGTCGCAGGTGCCCCAGTGGTCAGCAAAAGCCTGGGGTGGAGGCACAAGGCTGGCCGCGAGTTGGCAGGCTGTCCCTGCCCTTGTGTCTGGTTTCTGTGGGTGGCCCAAGGCTGAGGGGGACCCGAGTGGGGGCGACTAGAGCAGCCCACCCCTGAAGGTCTGAGTGTTTGCCCAGTCCTGGCGCCCAGGGTTGAATCATGCCCTAGCTGAGCTGCAGTTACTGGCTACCTCGTGGCAGTAGAGGTACTGGCTCAAGGGGGTGTGACCCCAAGCACCAGTCCCTGGCAGGGGTTTGGTTGCAGTTGGAATGTGCAAGGTTGGAGGTGTGGAGGAAAAATCTTTTCTCCTGTCACAGGCTTACAGGTTTCCTTCCAAGCCCCAAACTCCAATAATGCCCCTTCTAGGGGTTTCTGAGTAGCTCCCCCAGACAAGGGTCACAGGACAGCACTACCCAGAGCTGTGACCAGAAGGTTTTCAGGCCAGAGCCTAGATATTGCCACATGCAGTTTCCTGGATCTGGACTGGACAGTAAGGAAGGTGGGCTCCTTGGGAAGAGATGGTGGGGGTGGAGGACTAAGTGGAGACTGAGCTCTACAAGTGCACTTACTAGAACAACCCAAAATGACAGGAAGCTCCCCAGAACCTAAAGCAAGGCAGGGGATGGGAGCACTGAGGTACAGAAACTGTGGTGGCCCCGCCCCCTTTTCTACTGGAGCTGGAGGTATAGGCAAGGCTGGCTGAGACCAGGACTCAGAAGCCCTCACGGCTTCAAGAGCTCTGTTAGCTTCCCAGTCAGAAAAGAGCTGGGAATGTGGGGATAACAGAGGAGATGCTCCCTGTGGGTACATTCTGGGGTGGGTATGATCCCACAAGGTGATGCTGCAAAGGGTCATGGTTGCTCTGAGGACTGGGCAGCTGAGACTCGTTTCCAGGGACTGACCCTCTCCCACCCTTAGCCAGAACCCCTTCACTGGAGCACAGTAGCAGCCACCCAACCTCTCCCCCGATCCCCCTGGTGCAACATCACATGAAGAGGTCAGCAAGTATTAACTGGTGCAGAGCCAAATGTCCACCCCCGCCCAGCCCCTCCAGCCACCGTGACCAGCCTGAGTCAGGGGAAGTGAATGAGGAAGGCATCAGAACTGGCTCTAGTGCTAACCTGGGAAGGGCTTTAACCAGGAGACAGCCCTGCCACTGGCAGACAAGCCACCCCTCTTGGGCTGGGCACAGCTACTATAGTGCCACTGTTTCACCTAACACGACAGCCACCTCAGTCACTGACTTTCCGATATCCAGCGGGTGTCGGTGTCCCCAAGCCCACACACACACCAAACCCTCTCAGCCAGGAGTTCTCATCCTGAGGCCAGGCCAGTACCCCATCTCTCCAGTCTGAACCTCATCATGTCCCTCACACAGGATTCAGTCCCAGAGCCGGGCAGGCTGCCCTATTTTTCCCAGGCATGAGGTGGCGCTCTTCCAGGCTGGATCAGCTTATTCTAACTCCAGTGACACAGTCCTCCATCCTCCAACTGCTGCTACTCTAGCACACACCCTCCTGGCCATTAGAGACTAGAATACCCACTATGGGCCATTGTAGAGTGCTTGCCTAGCATGTACAAGGTCCTGGCTCAATCTCTAGCATTGGAAAGAAAAAAAAATCAGGAACAATATTTTCTGGTTGCATAAGCCCAATGCCAGAGGGCAGTAAGTTTCTTGCTCAGCCTCAGCAAACACCAACACCCAGCTGCTGGCTGTAACCCTGGCACTGGCAACAAGGCAGCCTCCCTGCGCCAAGATTTCCCTACAATTCTCCTTGAAGAAACCAATACCTCTCCTTTCTTTCTCTTTTTCCCTGAGCTGCCCACATACACAAAGCTTGTGCAGAGAACCACCTGTTACAGGCAGCTCTACAAAACAGAGGGCAGTAGATGTTGTTCCCATTAGCCAGAGGGGAAAACTGAAGCTGGGAGAAAGGAAAGGATCAGGACAAGGACCTAAGACCTTAGTACCACTCCGGTACTCCTTGCAGGCCACTAAACTGCCAGCTCATCAAGATCCTACATGAGTGTGGAGTCTCCTTACAATACCCACCAGATGCTCTGTCTGTCCTCAAGCTCCCAGTGGCATTCCCAGGAACAAAAAGGCTGTTACCTCTGGGGATATTTGAGCCAGGGCTACTAGCCTTGGTTCCAAAGTGTGCATCTAACAGGCACTCAGACTGGCTGAAGGCTGCAGGGTTGAGGGTTTAGAGGGGAAGTACAGAAGGTTCTTGGAGCACTATAATATACATCTGTCCACCTAAGACCCTCACATGAGCTCTCCCCCAACTGTTGTTGAGCAGTTCCTCTAGAAATAGCTCACAACTAAATATATTCCAGGTCCTTCATGCCTCAAACAAAGAATTAGACAAGATAAGCTAAAAACAGTTCTGAAAGTTTATTTGAAAATTCAGAGGTGATGGGGTGAGGGAAAAACTAATTCTGCAGAGGAAACTTAGGCTGGACAAAGAAAGGAAAGGATAAAAGCAAAAATAAAATGCACTCTGCATCTGATGCAGTGTGGGCTACCCTGAGGAGTCACAATCATGGATTCCTCATGGTGTCTATGTCTTACATGACATCCACATCTCATGGGAACCAAGAGAAATTCCACACACGGGCTTCTGGGAATTACTTGGCAGTGGGTATCTTGTAATTGACAGGTCCCACTTATTTCTCCAGCCAGCTGGGCCACACCGTGGCCCTATATCACCACCCCCTATAGTAAGGAAATTACCCTCAGCATCAAGATCCTAAGACACCTTCATGATGACATTCCCTGACAAAATCTTCATGAGACTCACTACCGCTATCAGCACAAAGTTAACCAACTCAATCTGGCAGGAACACATTTGCCTTTGCTCTGCCAGCCTATAGGGGCCCCTTGACAAAGGCCTGCTCAGTGACTGGTCATGGGTGGCACTAGATACACACACACCTACACATGTACCTATGCCCACACACAGAAGTGTATAAGGTTTCAAACACACACCTTTATATAGAGCCCCACCATTCACTGCATATGGTTTCCCACAAAATCAATATGGAACTTTCCATGCAAGCCAAGCAGAGACCAACTAATCTGCTTCTTGGATCTCTGGGGAAGCCAGATATGGTCATGTGACCATCTCCCAGCACTTGCAGGCAAAAGTGTATCTTCTGGCTCTGGGTGAGCCCCAGAAAGCCTGAACCCTTGAGTGTGGCAGAGGACAAAAAGCCAAGTTCTAGCCAGGTTCTCGTCCTGGATCTGTGGCTGGCTTGCTGTGCAGCCCACAAGCCACCTCTGTTTCTCCAGCTGTAAGACAAAGTGGTTTGGATAAGTTATCCCCAAAGGGCTCTCTACTGCTCAGCTCATGCAAAGCGCAGAGAACAGAGAGGCCTATGAAAGCTGAAGCAGGCATGGGGTCTGGGCACTCTCTGGGCAAAAGATTCTAGATTCAGGGTTCAGTGATGAAGTGGGTATAAGAGGGGAGAAATCTGAGCCAAGAAAGACAAAAGCCAAAAGCAAAAAGGAGGGGAGGACCTTAGTGATTCATAATTTACATTTACGGAGCAAATAATCTTTGAGTACTCACAGTGCAGGGATTTATCTATCATTTACACAGACCTACAAATACTTTCTTATCTCTGGGGGCCAGAGTAAGCAAATGTAATGGGTGAAGCCGACAAATCATACACCTCTGTATGTATGCTATAGGAAAGGGCCCAAGGTAGCAGGAAGAAGCCTCCAGCAAGACTCTTCACATGTACAAAGCCCTCAGCAGCTCTGGAAGCACCCATGTGCTCCCACAGCAGCCTAGCGCGCCCGCCTACTCACAGATGCCCTCCCTATGCTAACACCACCCTACGCTCCCCCAACCACACACACACTGAAGACAGCCCTCCTTCCCTGCTCTTTCTGCAACTTGGCACCCTGTGTTAATGAACTCCTGAAGATGAGGGCTGAGGCTAGGAGGCCACATCTCAAGCGGACAGAACACCATTGATATGTGAAGACCTCCTGAGAGTCTGGTCAAGGTCAGCAGGACAGTGGCTCAAATGCTCCCCTTTGCTAAACCTCCTTGGCATTAAGCCCAGTTCACCTTATTCTCCTCCCTCCTGATCCCCACAGCTTGCATTGCATGAACCAAGTCCCCATGTCATGAACCCCTGCTAACTAGGCAGGGCAGAACCAAAGTGGGGAAAGGAAGATCCTCCCAGGAAGGCACACCAGCCCTGGTCTAGAGCTCCCTGCAGCCTCCAGGTAGAGCCCAGGACCACAGGAGCAGCCCCAGGCCTCGCTGTTCTCTATGGCTTTTTATTCCTATGTGATTCTATTGCTCACTCATATAGGGATTGGAGCCGTGGCGCACGGCGAGGATAGTCAGCGGAGGCCTCCGACACTGCACAAGAGGACCTGAAGTGAGCTGGCACCTTCTTTTCCCAATCCAGACTACCAGCCAGCCCAAGGGAGCATTCTCTGCTACTCTCCTCAGTTGCTGCTTCTCTCACTAGCTCTAACAGAAGGGACCCCTCATTGCTCTGAAGCATCATATTGTCACAATGCTTGGAGACCCCACTGAGGGGCTGGCACTAGCTCAGAACTGTGTCCGAGTTGGCTGAAGGACCTGAGGGTGTTCAGCCTAGGAAAATGGAGCTGGCAACAAGAAAACAAGGTCCAGTATCTTGCGGGCTGGAGAAGCTCCTGGACAAACAGATGGCTAGGAAGTGTAATAGGGCTGCCCAAATACAGAAGGGCTATCCTTGGTGGCAGGTGGCAGGTGGCACCCAACAAAGCATATAGAAAGTTGGAGGGACTGTGCCAAGGATGCAACTAGAAGTTGCTGGTGTGCAGGGTCAGCTGGTGGCAATCTTTAGGCCTGTCCCTGCTCGCCCACATTGAAGCTGTTGGGCACCAGTTTCCAAAGATACAACATAGCCTCCCATTTATATGAAACAAGTCGATGTGCCCAGCAGAGGGGCACAGGAAATTCCTGTTAGGTTCTGGCACCATGTCTACAGCCAGACTACACTCCCCTCCCCAGCAGCTCCCTGCAAGTCTCTGCACCTAGGAAAGATGCATAGAAAACCCATAGTGTGGTCCTTTTTATTTCCAGTCTTTCTAGCTTTACTCCACAGAAGAAACAGGTTAAAGGGCTTGTCCAAGAGACTGTGCAGAGGAGAACTGGGACAGTGAACTGGCCAAAAGGCTTGTCCTGGTCTTCAGGGCTGCCTACTGCCATGACAGAGAGCAGAGGAGGAAGAAAGCTCCCATCTACAGACCTCATTGTGGGGAATTAAGACAGAGCAGAAAGGTAAGAGAGCCAAAAGCAGCCAGGACTGAGAAGGGTAGGAGCCCTAAAGCACATGGTTTTGGGGACCCATTCTTGTCTTCCTGGCCCTTTCCATCACTGAGGCCGCAGCAACAGGAGGTGGGTGTCCATGACATTGGTACCTGTCAGCCCCGTATATAATAGATGTGTCCCACCGTGGAAGCGGCAGAAAAAGGTATGCGAGTCATTGTGTGCTAGGAAAGTGGTCACATCCAGCCCCTCGGCAGCAGCCTGGCTGGTAAGCTCAGGGATAACCCAGGCCCCAGCAGCACTGGTGGGCCCATCCTGCCCATCAGTGCCACCACTCAAAAATAGTACCTCAACAGGTCCCAGTGGCCATCTTGCAAGCTCTGCTCCAACACGCAGGGCCAGTTCTTGGTTCCGGCCACCCTTGCCTGAGCCCTGCAGCTGCACTGTGGGCTCCCCACCAGCCAGCAGGCAGACTGGGCTCTGAGCCTCTGCTACAGCTTCCAGCACCTCCTCCAGCTGCAGGTCCGAGAGCTGGAGCTTGACTGCAAGCTCGTGAAGTTTTGCATTCTCTTCTACAGAGGCCCCAACTGTGGCTGGAGTAAGGTGGGCTCCAGCCACACGGGCTAGCATCCCATAGAACTGAGCCACACTCTTCACATCGCCCTGTATGGCTGCACTTAGCACCACAGCCCGGTAGCCTAGCAGCTGAGCCTGCTTCTGAGCCTCTGCCAGTGCCAGTGTGTTAGAGCCAATGATCACATTGAGGACATGACCACAGGAGGGTGGCCCTCGGGGATCAGAGTCAGCCTGGGAAAGCACAGTCTTCACGGAACGCGGCAGGGCAGCACGAAGTCCACAGCGATTGAGGATGTTCAGGCAATCTTGCACATTGTGGGTGTTGGCCACAGTGGGGCCGCTGGCAATCACATCCACAGGGTCCCCTACCACATCTGACAGGATCAGGCTCACCACCTGAAAAGGGCCACAGCACAAGCCTCAATCTCACCTTCTCCTTGCACAAGAATCCACAAAGACAAACTGCACCACAGGTTCTGCTACCTAGTGCATTTCCTCCTGGCTCATTTCTTTTCCTCTTCATTCCCCTCCCCCTCCTCCTCCTCCATCTTTCACAATACTAGGCATTGAACCTTAAGCTACATCTCCAGCCCTTTTTTGAATTTTATTTTGAGACAGGGTCTCACTAAGTTGCTAAGTTGCCCACACTGGGCTCAAACTTGAGATTCTCTTGCCTCAGCCTCCCAGAGTACTGGGATTATGGGGATGTGTCACCATTTCCAGACTCCCCGCCTACTTTTAACAACTCTCAGGTAGGTCTCCAGAACACCTAGCCCTGAGGATACCCTCTCCCCTCCCTGAAGCCCCTTCTAGGAACCTCCCCTAACCTGGCATGTGACTCTCACACCGAGTCCCTACTGATTGTGCATGCTGAACTTACTTTCATCTCCCAAATATGACAGGAAGCTCAGTGCTCTCTGAGGAAGAAGCAACTTACACACCTGGGCAGGGTAGGCAGCCTGAGCCAGCCCTCCACCCTTAAGCTGGGAAAGGGCCTTTCGGATGGTATTCAGCTCCTGGATGGTAGCTCCTCGGGCTTCCAGCAGCTTGGTGAGCATCTGTTTCTCCTCGAGGGTGACAGGTGGGATGGGGGCAGGCAACAGAGCTGACCCCCCACCTGCACAGTCAGTAAAGGTATCAGATGGAGGGGTATCACAACCCAAGGAACCAGGGAGCAGCAGACAGGCCTATGAAGGAAGTGAGCTGGGAGAGTGGGATTAGGGTGCCCCCATCTGGACATGTAGTGAGTGTGTGCAAAGTCACTAGGCCCTGGGCCACCAGAGGATATCCCTGCCAGCACTGAAAGAGCTAACAATCCCTGAAGAGCCTGGAACATGGCAAAGAGGAGAGAAAAAAAGCAGAAGACCATCATCTCCATAAGGTCTGGAGACCAGGTTCCAACCCTGAGTAACAATGGTACAGACAGCAACATGAAGAGCAATATTTTCCAAAGATTCTACTAAGGTGCCAGCTCTGCCTTAGATGCCTGTGTGAAGCACACTTTCTCTTTGTGCCCTCTTGGTATCGCCCAATATGGTCAGTTTGCAGGAGAGCATCCACAGCTGAGGGGGAAACAGTGACTGGCCCAAAGCCACCCAGGAGAAACCATCCAGGCTCCTCCCTGCCTCACTTGCTCTCAACATCACCCTGTGACTCTAGGGGCCCAGATCAATTTCTCAAAGGCCTAGTATTTGGAACACACCCCTGCCATCTGTCCTGAGCCAACATGGCACCTGCACCTGAGATAAGCACGAGCAGCAGGTCATCAGCTGTGAGACCCTCAGCCAAGTGCTGGATGGCCAGTGCAGCCCGCAGCGCATCACGATCTGGTAAGTTGTCCTCTGCACCTTCAAATACCTTGACACGGCTATGTGGCTTCAACAACATCTCCCTGAAGAGGAAGGAAACAGAAAGAGATGGGGGGGGGGTCCTCTCCTCCCACCTTATTTCTTGGCTGTATATGTGAAGGGACATAAATGAGGATGCCCCTTGAACTCCTTCCTGAGGCCAGACCAGACCCAGAAGGAAAGGGAAGCTGATGAGGAAAGGACAATCCAGAACACTAGGGAGCAGCCCCCAACAGCTCCTTACTGTTTGCCCGCATGCTCCATGGCAGCACAGATTCCCTTGGGAACGCTGATCACACCTTGCACAAGATGATGGCCCAGTAGCTTCTCCACTGCAGCTGCCATGCCCAGCACAGCCTTGCCAAAGCCCACAAGGTACAGATTTTGTTGCAGCTGGAAGGTCCGGTCCCGTACCTTCAGCTGTCTACCATCTGGATCCAAGGACAGTGCCCTTTGCAGCATGGGGCCTGGCTGCATGGCACCCACAGCACTTTCAAACAGCAGTCGTGCCTGCTCTGACAAGGCCATGCCACTGGCCATCCGGGCCACTGGGGCTCCCCAGAAGAGTGAACGTGAGGGGACTCGTACCAGACAGGTCAGAACCCTACAGGCCATGCCCCTCTGCTCTCAGCATCACCTTGTACTCATGGCTGCCTAGGGTGAAGAAAGCACAAGTGAGACCAGGGACAGAATCCCCTATGGCCACCCCTCCAAGGGCTCAGGGCTGGTAGATTCTATGGCTGCTGCTGCAAAAATTAAACCATCTAATAGGTTAAGTAGACTTCCTGAAGCACACACTACCTGATCTCACTCCAATCCTTGGAGCCCAGTCCCACCACCTAGAAAGTCCTCCTCTTCTACAGATCACACATTGGCCTTCTGGATACTCATGCCCCAAGTCCAAAGTTCCTGGCCCATCCTCCTAAGTCACCCCTTTGGCTGAGAGTTAATCATTTACAAAAGAAGCAGTTCACACCAGTGAGCTCTGGTTCCAACCCTTTTCTATCTCTTGTTCTTAGCTTCACCAAGAGCAATGCCCGTTTTTGGCACTCATGCCTTGCCTCTTTACCAATTCTGCTGCCAGGAGGCTATTGATTGTCCCACCAGCTGACCTCAAACTCATTCACCTCCAGTCTGCTCTTGCATTAGCTCCTGACTGGGCTAGGAAGCTTGGAAATTCTGGGTCTGTGTGGCAAGGGTACTGGCTCATCAGCAGGGGATACAACCTGAGGAATCCAAGCTCTCAGTTCAGCAAGAGTTTCAGGGACAAATCCAGCATAGCAGTTAAATAAGGGAACTCACATCTAAAATTCCAGCACTTTAGGAAGCTGAGACAGGAGGAGCACAAGTTTTGAGGCCAGCCTGACAAAATAAAGATTCAGTAAGACCTGTATCAAAATAAAAAAATAAAGCCAGGCCTGGTGGCACAGGCCTATATTCCAGCACTAGGTAGGCTGAGTCAGGAGAATCATTGCATGTCTGAGACCAGCCTGGGCTACCAAGTGAGCTCAAGGCCAGCCACTACATACCAAGACCCTGTCTCAAAAAGACTAAATAAAATAAAAAGAGAGAGTTTTGGGATTGTAGCTCAGGGCAAAGGCCTTGGGTTCAATCCCCAGTCCCACAAAATAAATAAAATAAAAATCGGAAATAGCAAAACTTGTCCCATGGAGGAACTTTAGGGAAGTCCCTAAGCACTTCCTGAGACCATGAGCGCTAGGGGGCCCAATTCACAGCACAGGAAAAGGTACCCTTGTACCCACTTAACTAGCCAGACCCGATCCTGCCAAGAACACCCCTTCTGGCTCTAAAACAGCACAAATAAGTCCTGAGTTACACTACACAAAGTGGGTGGCTAGAAGAGGCAAAGGCCAGGATCCTGTAACTTAACCCAAATAGTCATTTTCTCCACTGGACAGAGTGAAAGCTAGAGAAGACTCAGAGTGAAGGTCAGGAAGCTCAAGATCTACAGTCAATAAAGCCAAAAAAGGGGGCTCTTTTGTAAAAAGACATCTACCGTTGTTAGGTTTTGTTTCCAGGATTGAGCTGAGAGCCTTGCATATGCTAAGCTTGCACTCTACCACTCTACACACCAGCCCCTAAAAAGACATCTACTTTAATAAATGCCTCCCATGAATGCTGCAAACTATATCAGCAAGTGTGGATACAGCAGGAAAAGGAGACTCAGAATTGGATTTCCAGCTCTACCATAGGTTCTCTGAGTGCCTCTATTTCTCTCACTGACACTCTCACTGGTAAGCACAATTATCTAGCATGCTTGAGGCCCTGGATCGGACTTTCCAACATGTTAAAAAAAAAAAAAAAAAAAAAAGAAGAAGCCAGGTTTGGTGCCTATAATGGCAACACTCAGGGAACTCAGATAGGAGGATCACCAATTTGAACCCAGGCTCAACTTAGGTGCTCCTGGAGATCGGCTCAAATAAAAAATAAAAAAGGTCTAGGAATGTAATTCAGTGCCAAGGTCCCAGAGTTCAACCCTAAGTAATACCAAAAAGAAACAAAGATTCAGCCTTTGACATTCTCAGGCTTTCTGATGCTGTCCACTGTAACAGAGAATTCTGAACACTACCTTATTCCGCACACAAATAACGTGGCAACTTTCACACCTTGGTCATTTTACCGGCATTGTTCTCAGACTTCCTATAAAATACCAGCCATGTCTGACTCCTGTTGTGACAAAGAACACAGAAGCCACTGCCAAGGAAACTGAAAAACGTGCCCAGCTTTCGCCAGGGGAAATCCCTGGAACTTTCCTGTTAGGTTTGAAGCTAAAAGCATTCTCGCACCTAAAACATTTGATGTTCACAGCCTGGGAGAACGCTATACATTCTTCTCTGACAAAAGCCTACAGCAGTCCAGCTCTGCTACTAGATTCCAGAGTCCAGGACAAAAGGACGCCCAAGGCTAAGACTGCCAGGTAAAATACATAAAAATTCAATCCAATTTGAATTGAACTCACATCCTACACCCTTCACTTGCAAATCTGCTGACTCACAAAAAAAACGCCCAACATAAAAAAAAAAAAGAACGCCAAAATACTTAGAAGCCCAGGCCTGACTCCTCCCCTGCACCGAGGGCGCTGACGCCACTTCCACCCTTCATCTGCCTTTATATGACCCGGAAATGATAGCATCTGTGTCCTCGGAAAGGAAAGGGTTGCAGCGTAGTGCTAGGAGACGGGAGCCCACTCCCCCGAGCCCACGGTCGCTAGAGACAGGGATTATCCAGCTGCCGCATGGACCCTCGCGAGACACATTTACGGCCCTGCGGCTTTTGGCCGCGGCTCCCAGGGAGTGCACCGGAAGTGGCGGGGCGACGTCCGGAAGTGGAATTGGGCGGGGTGGGACACCGGGGCGGAAGGTGCTGTAGTTACCACCCATGGTTCCTATCGACCCTCCCAAGACCTGGTAGGAGTCTCCCTCAGCCGTCAGCTATTTCATCTCTGCCATGGATTCTCAGTGGCTTACAGTAATCGTGCCCCTTCTCACCGGATTGCCTTGATCCTACCCTTTCTTTATTCTGTAAAATCAGTCGTTAAATACATTCCGGAGCGCCCACTAGCTGCTACCGGTAGACAAACGACTGAACAAAAAGAATTGACAGCCACTGTCCCCTCACAAAAAATATACTAAATCATCCTCACTCTTTTTGTAATCCAACAACTCATTGGTATTTCCTTCTCCTCCATAGCCCACCTCAGCAAGAGATTCCTGATCCATGAACCCTGTAATCGTGTGCTGCTTGTAAGCAAGAGATGGTGGCCTTCATAATTACACCTGCTGTCACCCTGTCCCGCCTTGAGGAAAGCTCAATTCATAAGTCCTGACCAGGTTCCAAAACCACAAGAGAATAGTTTTTACGAATTAAAACATCTCTTCCCCACTTGCTGGCTTTGGGGGGGACCACATCTCCATAGGTCTCCAAAATGATCTCTGTTCTTGTCATGAACTCTTCCTACACGTGCAAGTGTGCACACACATGCGCACGCACATACACACACACAACTCTCTCCAGCTAGACTTTTAACAACTTGTTAAAATAGAGAACATTTTATTCCCTATACCAAATGATTCTCCACCTTATCAAAATAGTCATCTTTCGAAAGATTTCTCCGTTTTAATGTCCAATGAGCTGTAAGTAGAAGTAATGAGGGTCACTTCTGAGTACAGTACTTAGCCACATGAGAAGTTCCAAAGCATTTTTTTCTGTTTGCATCCAGCATCTTCTCTGCCAATCTGAGACCTTTGAGTGACTCAAGGGAAGAGCCACTCTACAACCTACAATAGACATGTGCCCAAGTGGACAATAAACATTTAATAGGTTAAGTCACTAAGATGTGGGAGTTAGTGTTACTACAATTTAACCTGTTCTGGTTGACACCTGCACTTGATCCTTGAATTTTAGTTAAAATACCAGAAGTTCGAGCTTGTATCTTAGAAGCTTGATCAACACTTTATTGACATTGGATCATCCACAAAGTATTTATTATCATCTTTGGCATTCCTGTTGCTAGATGTACCAGCATACTTCAGGTCATACATGATAAATCCCTGTAGCTCTTTCACAAATTATATGACAATAGTGAAGAAATCAAGAACACTGTACTATGTATTCAGAAACTTCAGAAATCCTGGTACACTAATACCATGAAGCTAAACTGAAAAGGGGAGCCATGTGTAGTGGTGCCTGCCTATAATGGCAGCATTCAGAAGGCTGAGATAGGAATTCAAGACCAGCCTGGGATATCAACTGAGACTCTGTCTCAAAAAAAATAAATTTCATAAGGAGAACCCCTCCATATCTCCATATTAGTGTTGGATTTTTATAGCAGAAAAGATTTTCTTTCTTTCTTTCTTTCTTTCTTTCTTTCTTTCTTTCTTTCTTTCTTTCTTTCTTTTTTTCTTTCTTTTTAACCAGAAATCAAACTCATGATCTCATGCTTGCCAGGCAGGTGCTGTACTGCTGAGCTATAGTTATTCCATCAGTTCATGTAATTTCTGAGTCCACTCCCTTTGTTTGTTGGTTTGGTTTGTTGAAAGTGATCAAACCCAGGGCCCTACATACATTTTACCTCTAAGCTTTACTACCAACCTCTTAGATGTATTTGAATTACAACTGAATAGAGACAAACAGCAGAAAGGATTCAGGACAAGCAGGCAATGTAAGACTAATTCAAAATGAAAAATAGTGAATATAAATGTTCTTCTCCAAGCTGAATTCAATTGGGTTATTCCAACATGAAAAATATTGTGAGTTACTATAGTGCATCTGTCTTAGTTCCTTGTGCTTCTATAACAAAATACCACAGATGAGTAATTTATAAGCAATAGAAATGTATTTCTCATTGTTCCAGAAACTGGAAAATCCAAGATCAAGGTATTGGCAGGTTCAGTATCTGATAATATCCTCTTGGCCTCCAAGATGAGATCTTGTTACTATATCCTCTGAAGAAGACAGTGACCTTGTTATAGGATTAGGGGGTCTTGAACAAAGAACTGAACAGGACACCCAAAAGGAACAGCAAAACCAAAGATGTATTCAGAATGAAAATGCACTCCACAGAATGAGAGTGAGCCAATAAGAAGAGCTCACTGACCCAAGGAGGCCTGGTGAGGGTTTTAAGGTTGGGGTGGAAGTGAGGAGTTGATCTGAGATTTTTCTGCTTCCTACGAGTGGCTTAGTTGTGCTGTGTTATGGTTTGTATCTAGATAGCCTCCTAACACCTCATGATATAAAAAATTCAGGACAAGTTGGAAAGTAAGATTAATTTAGAATCAAAAATAAAAATAGTGAATACAAATGTGTTTAGTTTTTCTTGGTTATTATGACCCGAAATTATCATGAATTTTTTTTTTTGTACTGGGGACTGAACTCACAACCTAGCTCTTACCAGGCAGGCACTTATGCCACTAAACTAAATCCCCAGCCCTATCATGAATTATTATAGTGCATCTGACTTAGTTCCCTTGCACTGCTACAACAAAATACTGCAGACCTGGTAATTTATAAGAAATAGAAATATATTTCTCATACTTCTAGAAGCATTAGCAGGTTCAGTCTTAGGTGGGGCTTCTCAGAGATGATTGTATCTAGAGTGTAGGATGCTAGGATTAAGTGTGTGATGCTGGAATCAAGGATATGTGATTACCAAATTAGTCCACTGACTGATTTGGCATAGTTCTGGGTGTGGATAATGGGAGGGATAATGGGAGGCCCACCCTGGATGTAAGTGCTATCCATAAGAGCAGGTAGCCTGGACAGATGAGAAGGGACAGAACAAGGACTGCTGGGGTGGCTTGCTGCTGCTGCTGCTGTCTTCTGCTGCCTCCTGCCGTGGCACTCTGCTTTGGAGTCAGCCAGTTATCGACTGAAACCTCTACAAACTGTGAGCCAAAATAAACCTTTCCTCTTTTAACTTTGACCATCAGCAATTTTGTCTCAGCATCAAGAAAAGCAACTAAGACAACCCCCCTTAGGAGCTGAAGCATTTGACTTTTTTAAATGGCGTTTGGAGGAACTATCATGGTATCTGTCTTAGTTGCTTTCTAGTCACCAGTGCACAATAACCACACCTACAATTTAAAGGAGAAGAGATTTATTTTGGATCCCAGTTACAGTGCACAGTCAGCTGGCCGCAAAGTAGAAACAGCGTGTTGAAAGGGCCTACTACAGAGGAAGATATTCATGTAATGGCTACCACAAAGTGGAGACTGAGGGAGGGTCCCAGAAAGGAAATATATACTTCCGGGTCACACTCCAATGACAGATCTCTAGCCAGGTCCCACCTTCTAACAGCATACTCAGCTGCTGGACTCATTCATGGACTAATCCATCCATGAGTACAGTGCCCCCATGATCCAGTCACCTTCCAACACATAAGGCTTTGGGGGTATACCCCAGATCTAAACTATGTCCATGAAGGGAGAAGGATGTCAAAACTGCAAAATCAATGGTATGGCAATCAGAGCTGGGGTCAGCTAAGGGTTACTGAAAACCACTGGACACATGGTGAAAGATTTATTGTGTATAAACTAGATTAACCTGGTTACTTTTTCCCATTGTATTTAGACCTAGATAGCCTATTCCCAGGCTAATGTTTAATTCTGAAGATGGATCTAACCCAGAAAGCCTTGGGAGGGTCTCCCTATTTTCTTCAACCATTGCCTTAACTACCTCCTGCTTCCTTGTCACTTGGCAGAAGGTAGGAGGGCAAAAGACCTAACACTTTTACAGATGCCTCTTTTATAAAGGTCCTTAATCCCATTCACAAAGGATGAGTCCCATGACCTAATCATCTCCTACAAGCTGCTCACCCTTTTATTTTAGATGTGTTCTACTAAGTTGCTTAGGCTGACCTTGAGCTTGAGATTCTCCTGCCTCAGCCTCCTGAGTAGCTAGGTAACAGGTGTGTACTGCCAATGCACCCTTCTAGGACCCACTTCTTACTACTATTGCTTTGAAAATTAAATTTCAATATGAATGTTATTGTTGTTGTTTTGAGACAAGGTCTCATTATGTAATTCAGGCTGACCTTGAACTCACTATGCAGCCCAAGCTGGTCTCAAACCCACAGCAATCCTCCTGCCTCATCCTCCTGAGTGTTGGCCCACACTCAGGACAACATAAGTTTTGGAGGTTTACAAAATATTCAAACCATAGCAGCACTCATAAGGGAACCTGGGGAAAATTCACTGTAAAATCCACAGTGAAAATAATAGTGATTTTTTTGAATTAATACAGTATCTAAGATAACTCAGAGGGGTATCAGTTACCAACACCAACCTAGAGGCAACTGCATCATAGCTCTTAGACTCTGCAGCCCCTTTTTCTCATCCTTGATGTCCTCAGCCTTGAGCCTCAGAGTCCTATCTGCCCAACTTCTTTTTTCTTACCATGAGCCCCTAACATCTCATAGAATGTGCAACAACTTGCCTAGCACCTGCCACAAGGACTACAAAGGGTTCAAGTGTACAAAAGCTCCCCTGGAGGGCTTCCAAGTTAAGCCCTGCAGTAACCTTGAAACTGGGGAAGGTGCAGTCTTGCTGCCACCCAAGGCAGCCAATAACTTGAGAGTGAAAGTGATAGAAAATGAAAAGATTTTATTTGCAACAAGCTAGTATGTTGCAAGATGGGAGGCCAATACCTGTAATCATCTTGCCTGGCGCCACTGAGAGAAGCTGTAATCGCCTCTTTTGTCAGAATGTTATCTCGATTTCGGTAAGTGGCTGCCCCTAGTATAGTTCATTAATCTTTTTTTTTTTCTTTTTGAGGCAGGGTTTCACTATGAAATTCAGGCTGCCCTTGAACTCACATCGAACTCACAGCAATCCTCCTGCCTCAGCCTCCTGAGTGCTGGGATTACAAGTGCGAGCCGTCACTCCTGGCCTTTCTTAATCTTAAGAAATAGCAAGTTGTGGAATCTGGATTATGAGTACCTTACCTCAGTCCATACATCACTTAATGATGGGGTCTATGAATCTAAGAAAACATGATTGACCAGAGACTTGTTGTTTGAAGGTCTGTGCATCTGATTTCTGTTACAACCAGTCTCTGCTTTCTAATTTCCCAAATTTGTCTTTTAATTGTGACTTTTCCTGTAACCTAGGAATGGAGCATGCAGAGAAAAAGTGCAAATGCATTTTAACTGATTTTACATGTAGTAATTAAGTTATGGATCAGGGTATACAGAGTTCCTGGTGAACTGAAAAGAGGGGAGGAAAAAAAGATCTTTTAACTTATGATTGGACTTCAAACTTCCAGCAAACTGACCCTATCCACTCCTTACCTATCTGTGTTTCTCACACACCACTATGGCTCTGAAGTACTGGATACTTCAGGGGGGTGAAGCCAGAACATAGAGGAAGTTAGATAGACAGGGTACA